CCCAATTGGTGGTTTGAAATTGGAAGCCCCCGGTTCTTGTAGAGGGCAAATGGGAGACTACCCTCAAGCACCAAGCCACCAATCCAAACCACCAACTAGGGACTCACTGTTGCTGGACTTACTAGTGGCTCTGAAATGGTAGTCGTACAAAAGGTACTTGGCCTGCCGACTCGGCACCATAGTAAAATACAGGGTATGCAACTTTCTCCCTACTTTCTTGACACTTGTTACCTCATAATTGTACACAGAGCTCAAAATATATAGATCCCCCTTTTGGATGTGAGCGAATTCTTTAGGATTAACACGAGGTCCCGCAGCGAGTCCTCAGCTCACTCCCCAGCAGCCGCTCAACCTGACAAGCACGGCTTGCGTGTCTTGGTAGGGTTGACACAGCCACCCGTGTGTTTATGGTATCTTCTCCAAATTGAATGGGCAGCCCAAAAATGGGTGACAGTCCTGTTGTTTGCGTACGAAAAAAGAACCTAATCAAAACAACCAAAGGTGCCATGGTCAAAACTCCCACTAAAGGGTTCATCACCATTCCCAGTCACGATTTTATTACTTGCAAAATGGCCTTTGGAAGTTGTCTCGTGGTTTGCGCGCCTGCTTTCGCAATCCCGCGGTCGCGGGTTCGATTCCCCCCTGGTCCGCGGCAACTCCAGATGGAAAATCGCAACTTTTAAGTATGAAAGTAGTAGGCGAAGTACACTTTCGCAGCTCCGGCGCAACTTTTGAGCGCGAAGTACACTTTCGCAGCTCCTGCTGGAAAATCGCAACTTTAAGTACGAAAGTTGTACGCGAAGTCCGGCTGGAAAATCGCAACTTTCAGTACCAAAGCAGCACGCGACGCAAGCTTTCGCAGCTCCGGCTGGAAAATCGCAACTTCTAAGTACGAAAGTAGTACGTTGAGTAAACTTTCGCTGCTCCGGCTGGAATATCGCAACTTTTGAGTACCGAAGTAGCACGCGAAGTAGAAAGTGTTTCGCGAATAGAGGGAAACTTGTTCAGAGCAACTTGTGAGAGAACTTGCTTGGAGAACTTGCTCAGAGGAAATCGCGCCAACTACTTGCTCAGAGCAACTTGCACAGAGAACTTGCTTGCAGAACTTGCTGATAGGAACTCGCGCCAACAACTTGCTCAGAGCAACTTGCACAGAAAACTTGCTCAGAGGAACTCGCGCCAACAACTTGCTCAGACGCGCAACTGCGCGGAGAACTTGCTAGGATTGCTAGGAGAACTTGCCGCCGCTGCTAATGCTTCGGGCCACCCATCTTCTAGTTTCTCTTTGCCCGGGGAAACTGCACATCCAGCCCTTCTAAAGGTTAACGGTGGCACATGATGTCACCGAAACGGGTTCAGAAAACACCCCCCATGTTTGATAACCACCCAGAAGTCAACAAGCTCAAGTTGTTCGGCTTGTGGCCCAAAGCCGTTGTGGGTCGTCTCCATGTCAGCCAAAATCTGCTTCTTTTTGTGTAGCCCAACTTTGCTCCAGCGTAAGCCAGTGCTACACATTCGAGCCCTCACCTCCACCCGCAGGCCCAGCTTGTCAGCCAAGGCCAGCGTGGCCTGTGCCCCGGTTCGGTCGTCGAACCCTTGTGACGCAAAATGGGCAACAAGAGCGCCTCCCAGTCCTCCGCCAGCTGCAGGCGGGACTCCGCCCGCGCCTTTTGGAAGAGCGCCTACGAGCCAAGCCGAGAGATCCCCAGTCCATGTTCAAGAGGTCTCAAGGAGCGACACCATTTTTGGGACACGCCGGAAGAAAAACTACAGCCTTTTCGAGCTCGTCTTGAAACTCGGCCGTTGACAGCCTAAGTTAATATACATTTACAAGAAAACTGAGTCCTTCAGAACAATCAAATATGATTGATCCAAATGCCCTAGCGGGGCAATGAGAAAAAACTGTGCTAGGAAAATGATATTGCCCCATGGTCAGACACTGGTGCAGCTGCCTTAAATCCTCGCAATCCTTCCAAGAATCAAAGCCGATTCACTGGCGAAGGAGAAGCGAAGGAGAAAACCCATGAACCAAACATTCTCCGACTTTGCTCGGTGCCAATTTGGAGTTCAGTGAAGACGGACTTGTCCAAAGCGGGACAATGAATGGAAACGAAGGTTTGGCAGCTTTTGGAAGAGTATTTCATATTGTAAGAGCATGACGGCTTGTTAGATGCTTGTGTGGTTGTGTCTGAAACTCTTTGCGACCCTGGCTAGCTAAGATACTTCGACATGGACCACGATTGTAACCCGTCGTGTTCCTGCTTGCACAACTGACTGCTCAACGATAATTATTTTGGTCGAGTTTGAGCCCGGACCCTGCAACTGGCCAAAACTCAGTCGACTCTGACTCGAAAAGCCAACCAGCCTTCTTGGTGGCTGCGGGTGTCAGGTCAGACAGCCGCTGGAGAGCCTGCACGCTCCCCCTTCCTGCCCCGCCCCGGCAGGTTTTGGACCAAACGTTGCCCAGGTGTCCAAACACTCCAAACGAGTTTCCTCACATCGGACTGCCCCAACATGTTGGAAGATATGATCGGAGACACCGTTTCAAGCGCCACCTTCGCCTATGCAAAACTGCCAATCGACTTCCGGCGACGCATGGCCTGCGCGGCATCTGAGCGTGTGCCCTCCTCGGCCGTGAGCTCCGATCCGCCCGTGTGTTGACAACGCACACTGCTTCTGGCCTTGACCGCCCCAAAAAATACATTGACCGCCCCTTTTCTTTGGTCCAGAGCCCCCCCCCTCCCCCAATTGAGGCCAGCGCCCAATCGTTCAAGGAGGCCAGACACACTGCGCGGTTCCTTACGGCGAGACTCCCCCCCACCAAAACCAGTGTGCGTTCAGATTAGGAGCTCCGCCAAGTCTTTAATCTCATGTCGGCCTCCCAAAAAGGTCCCCACTTTGACGTGCACCCACAAACCAGCTGCATGGAAATGGGCGACATTCACATGCTGGTATTCAGCTGCTGAACCATCTGCCAAGTCTCGAAAAGTAAACTCCTGGGACAGCTGCTCCAGCTGCCTGTCAAAGCGCCCGCCGAAGTGTAACACTGCATTGTGGCATGGACACCAGCCGTGTTGCTTTGGGCCTCTGGGCCTCTTGCTGTCACGGGCTGCACAAGGCTCCACCACAAAAGCAGAGTCAGCGAATAAAATTCAAAGAGAGAAGTCACCCTGATCGTGAAACATTGTGAGGCGGAGAGAGGATATCCCACCACATGCCTCCGCGATCGCAATGGCTTCTCCGTAGAGGCGGGATGCCTCCTCGAATTGTTTGGCCTGCACGGAGCAGGGCAAAGTCCCCCTCAGCCAAACAAACATTCGATTTCAAAAGGATTCTCTGCTTCCTGCGAGAAGCGATAGTGAAGGACGCCTTTAACATTGTGTGCTCCACCATCTTGACGAGCATGATGTTTTACCAAACAAAGAAAGCGTAAGGCGGAATCATGTTCTTCTGCTTCACATATATTTTGCATGCATGACTTCCGGATATGATATTGAATATGTTTTCAAACAAAGCGCCTGGAAGGCAGTGTTGCCCTCTGCCTTTTTGGCATCGGCCTTGGAGCACGTGGGACCTCCTGTTCTTGAGGGACTGCTGCAAGACCAACCAAATCGAGTGTTCAAAACAGAATGTACCCCTCCAAGTTGGCTTCCTCTTGGCTTCCCTTAAGAACCATCCAGTATTTTGCCACAGACCGAAGCGCAAAGAACCGGGGCTTGTTCCTCCGACATGCAACAAAATGGCAGGAACAAAGGCGGCGCATCTCAGGTGAGGGCCTCAGGTGGGAGCGGCTTCTCCACACCTGAACTGTCCGTATGGCTAATGCGTACCCCGCATAAGAGAAGAACCTGCACGACGAAAATCTACGGGGCATGGCTCCTGCACAAGTAAAGGATTCCCATGTTTAGTTGAGTCCTGAGCTTCCAGCCGGAACTTAACGCAGAAATACTGTGAGTGACCCTGGTTTCCTGTGCACTTCAGCGGGTTTAACGTCCGTCATCTGACGTGAGTCTATGCAATCAGGTCTGACTGGCCTCTCAACATGCTGCCCTTTCACGACAAAAGGACCACCGCATGTTGGGAATGGCTTCAGGCCCCCCCGTGCCCTGTTCCTCCATCGCAGGAGGGTGCATCGCACTCCATTTTGCAGCCTGCAAAGCTGCTCCGGCTAAACTTGCAGCACAGGCCCGCCAGCCAGAAACCTCCTCATTCCATTGTGGGTAGCTCGGAACACACGCAAAGCATTCATTCACTCATTTGTTTATTTCTTTTGATGTCATGTCCTTCCATCAAATTGATTCATTCCGGTCTCAAACAAAGGGGCACGGTCTCGCATTTCGCCACGGCCAGCCCAAACTTGCCTCTCCAGTACTCCGCTTCAGCCCCGCCTTCACTGCAGTCTTTCGCACACTCCTTTGCACACTTCTCTCCACAAGGGACACAGGCTGGCTCGGAGACCATGGCTGGCCCTGCCATCCGGCCCCTAAAAACACCCAAAACTAGCCGCAAGATGCCCTTGTTTCTGTGCCGACTATAATCTTAGCCGCAGCACCATTCCCGCGTATCACCTTGGGCATGTCACGTTGGCGGCGAGTCTTCGTGAAAGAGCTATGCGCTGAACTGAATGTTAATGGTGTCACCTGGCGGCATCAGTGCGGACATCGCACTGAGCTGGAGCCGTCAAGCAAAGCTGCCCCCGGGCAAACCGTGCAAGCAGCCGAGCCCAGTGCCTACTGACTGGAAGCAACCCATTCTGAACTGCACATAAGTGGCAGGGCTTGCGTCAATCTGCATGTGAAATGTCGTGCAACCAATACATTGACCCCCAACTTCACACACAGCATGAAGCATACTATCACGCGCCTGTAAAGGGAACTGACGGGATATTTTTGCAATCCGCACCGCACCCGCACCCACACCCGCACGCACACATACAAGCGCGAGCATCTGAGCCAATGGGCCGCAAATCGCTCTATGCGAGTGTCGGAGCTCAAGCCTTTTCTATGGGCATTTGATTTGACTCTACACAAACTCTGTTGGCAAGCTCTCACAGCGCTTTGGCAGCTTCTGCCGAGTTGCCCTGATCCACAGCCTCAGCTCAAGGCTGAGCGACCACCTCCCAAGAGTCTTGCTTCGTGGATATGAATACTCTCGCATTAAATCAGATTCTCTCATCGGCGAATGCGCACACAAACTTCGCGAACGTGAGTTGTGGACAGTTGTTTGCTTTGTAAAAATTGATCTGCCCAGTGGGATGAGCCGTTTCCTATCATGATCGGACGGCCGGGCTGCCGGCCATCGAGAAAGCATCCAATTGAGGATCATGGTCGGGCCTGGCGGACCCATCTGAAGCTTGACGTGGCATCATGCGTGTAGGCCATACTAGCACCAGGGGCACACCCACACGGACATACAAAAGTTCAAAGACAGGGAAATTTGCAAAATGCCACCAAGCCCAAGGGACAACCTTATGCTTGCTCAGCCTCCCTCCGCCTCGCCTGTAAGCTGAAATGACCTGGGACGCGATGAAGTCCTGCATCCTTATCAGCGTTCAGAAGCAGAATGGCCGGCCCACTACTAGGCATACCTCCCTTCTACACAAACAACTGCGTGGGCTCAGTGCTGGGCATGTAGGGTCGCCTCCTTGCCTCAGTCTCTCAGCCCACTCTATCAGATTGTCTCTCCGCTTTCTCTCTCTCTCTCTCTCGCGCTCTGATTCCTTCTCTCGCGAGAGGTTGTCGGCTGTTGCCAAGGTTGCGACGTTGGCCATTCGGGAGATAGTCAGCTCGAACCTGAGGCTCTGGGCACTTGCCCACGAGCCAACCAGGCAACCACAAGGATGGAGCGCTTCTCTCTTGTTCCACCTAGCTCACCTCTTGTGGCTGAGAAAAGCCTCCAAAGAGCCTGCTCGAGCACGGGAGGCCAAGACTCAGACAAACTTAGTCCTACCAGGTCATGGTTCTCCTGGGAAATTGTGAAAGGGTTTCACCACCATCCCAGGCCCAAGCAGGCGGCAGTCAATTCGGTGCACAACGCAACTGGGAAGCCCCGCTTCAAACGTGTGACTGCCTTTTCCAACAAAGCCAAGACTAACCACCTCTTTTCGCGGCTTCCCTCTTCTCATCTAGAACCGAATCGCAAATATGTGCAGGCAGCTTGACGGTGCTGATATGTTCATTGTAAACATTCAACACCTTTTGGTTATCCCACTAACCATAGAGCAAATGCTGTACCAGACATTTCAGGAAAAAAGGCCATCCTGAGGCCTGAGGTCCACATGCTTCGCTCAAATTGCACGCTGGGAGCCCCGGCCAGTGAGGCGGGCCATGCTTCGGCGGGCAAAAGAGCTCCATATTGGGCCGCGTGCCCCACATGGCCTCAAACGCGTCCAGCAAAAGGATCCGGTGAGGAAGGGGCAACATGTTTTGGACCTCTGTGGACCTCTAACAGCTGCTCCGACACTGCCTGCCATCGCTGCGACAATCCCCATGCCCCCAGTCAGAATGGAGAAATCTTGCCGGTAGCAAAATCCATCTCGTTGGGTCTGTGAGTGAGAAGGCAAAGTGCCTCAAAGAGCACACCAAGTAGCTTCATCCTCATATCATAACTTCAAAGATGAAACCTGACAGTATGTTCAGTATCTTTCCTCATCTCTCTTTCTCTCCTCAGACCGTGCTATCTCCCATCGCTTACTCGTGGTCAGATCAGAGGTGGGAGAGAGACTGAAAGCTATAATTTTCCGTCGTTCATATACTGGCAAGTGAGAGGTCAAAGGGTTAATTCTCTTCATCCTGTCTGTTTCCCTTGCATTCAACCCTCACCTACTAACAAGTCTTCCTCCAATCACAAGGTGAGTGACGAGGAAGAGGATCACCGTTTCAGCGGATGGAGCCATCGGAAATGGATTGAGCGTACGGATACATATCCCTTCATCTCTATCTCCAACCCACTCCCTTGCTCTCAGGTATTGCTTGGGGTTGAGGGATGAAGGGACATCTCTTATCCACTTCTCGTTTCCACAGTTCATAGTTACATGAGGATGTGGAAAGATTGGGATGAAAGTGGTTCAGAGATGGGAGATGGATGGTAGGTGATAAAGGTTGGGAAGTGAATGAAGAGAACGGACTCACCCAACCCGAACCATCCCTCTCTCCTTCCCCTTCCTCGCCTATATCTCCCCATCACCCAACCTCTGTTTCCAAGATAAAGAGTTGAGGTGATAAAGGGAGACGAGTGAGGGAAGGGAAGCCCCATCCTTTTCACTCCCTGCAATCCTCATAGATAGATATGAGGAGCGGACGAAACCTTTTACTTCGTCTTAGTACCTCTTTAAAAAAAAAATGGGGGGGGGGGGAGATCTTATCTTTTTGCAGTGCTTCGAACTTTGCCAACTCCGGCCGAAAATCACAACTTTTCAGTACAAACAAGCGTAGTACGCGAAGTATAGAAGGGATGGGTGAGGGAACGGACTTTTCCTCTAGGATTTCCCATAGACGGGCCGTTCTCTCACTCCTGCCCCCATTTCCAAGTCCCAGACCGTGGCTGCCGACTTCAGGACCTGGTCACGGGAGAAGCTCCCCCAACACGGAAGAGGGTGCCATGAGGCAATGGTCGTCCGCCTGCCTCCGTGCCACCCATGTCGTAGGCAGCGTCCCAGAGCACGTGGGGCACAGGCCCGGCCTGGCAGAAGAAGAGTTGAGTCGCGTGATGGTTTGTTAGATTCTAAATGTCTGCACCCACTATGCCGTCGGGTCGCCCTCTTGTGACCAGAGGTTCGAAAGTGAAGAATAACGCCAAGTGGGGAGGACAAAACAAAAACGATGTGAGAGTCAGAGCCGTTTGGAGGAGCTGGTACCCATCCAGATATGTCGCTAAAGCATTCGAGTGAAGAGGCATTCGATCTACGTGGGCCCCTGCTTTCCGCATGAGGCCGCCACTGCTCTGTCTTCTAAGTGGACATGCACCTTGGTCCATGCGGCCATGCAGCTAAAAACCTGCGAACGACCATCTTCTGAAGCGTTACTGGTTCAAGAATAATCTCTAGAAACTTGCTTGGTTGTGCCACTCACAAGTAACGTTCCTCACACCCCATGTTGGGGGGTTTGACACAAGAGTCCAGCTCTGAGCGCGCCGGCATAAGACTCGGGGTGGTCCAGCTCTATCCTCACGCGGTGCCAGTCAACATACCCCGTAGGGGGGACCCATGGCCTTGTTCATGGCTATTGATAGACCCAATCTCGCTTACTACAAAAACGGCTACTTACTTGGGCCTGGTCCTGGGCTTATTCATCCGAGGCTTGGACCTCACCCTATGGACCCCCACAAGGGTCCGCGAGCTAAGCTGCTTTGCTGGCAGGCAGCCTTCATTACCAACCACAAATCTGCACGGAAGAAGGGCGGAGACTCCCATCAATCTTTGTGAATACTCAACCCGCTGCGAGTTCACCTCGGCAGGCTGAGCGAACTCAATTGAGCGTAAAGTCTAGCGCCTCTTTCAATGGTACTAATTTCCATCCGCTTCTCGCATGTGCTGCATTTGCAAAAGGTGATCATCAGGGGCTCTGGTGAAACTTACTTTTGCCTTGCTAAGGGCCATGCTGAGAGAAGCTGATCGCAGATTTGTCTAGAGACAGAGAAAGAGAGAGAGAGAGAGAGAATCTGTTTTAAAAAAATGTGTGTTTGTGAGCTCTTTTTGCTTGTCGAACAATTCCATCACAGACCCATCTCTGGCTTGCCCCGTTCCAACCGTACCTCCAAACGAACGGCGCCCTGTCGCCAAGGGGCTGGGGGTGAGGATAGCCCTGCTGCGTAGGCACTGGGCCTGGCCCCCCGGGGCCAGGGCCCCAAGCCTGCGAGCTCAGGGTGCGAGGGGTGGCCAGGGGTGCAGCATTGATACTTTCTTGGCTAACCAAGTAACCTACACAGGCCTCAAAGATTGTCTCACAGCCAAAGGCCAGTCAGTCTGCTGAACTGCTGCCAAGATGCAGATTGCTGGCACGAAAAGCGCGAGCTATCCTCGGATAACCGCAACCAACTGAAATTGGCAGCGGAACTCGTACTGGACTTAACGACGTCTGACATCTGAGCCCCACGTGTTGCGGCTTACTGCAGCCTGGAGGCGGTCAGGTCGCTGAACCGGATGGTCTGCGACCTGGTCAGGAAAGACCGAACTTCTTTTAGGATGATTGAGGCATCTATGCCCCTCAAATGGCTCCAGTAAATTCCTACAGTTGTTGCAACACAGGAACAGGAGGTCACAAGTCCAGTTTCCAGTAGGTTTAGCGGTTTAGCCTTTTGAATCCCTGATGTTGCAATGCAGATTCGACTTCAGCTGCACGGGATCCACGTTGAACATCACCAGCGGTGTGAAGTGACCAGTTGCTTGACCACCCATATTCTGACGTGCGTCCGTAAGAGCCGTGCGTGCCCTGGGTGACCATTTGGTCACCAACGGTGTGTTGAGGTCTTGAGAGCTGCGTGCGCTCTGCATGACCATTTGGTCACCAAGGGTGTTGTGTGTGCCCGTGGCCAACGGTGTGGAGTGAATGGTCTGAGGGGTGGTCTTAAGAGCTGCGCATGCGCTGCACAACCATGTGGTCACCAACCGTGGGGAATGAACGGTGTGCAGGATGTTCTTGATGATGCATGCGCCCTAAATGAGCATTTGGTCAGCAATGGTGTCAACTGAACGGTGTAAAGGACATTCTTGAGACCGGCGCGTGTCCTGCATGACCATTTCGGCAGCAACACTTGGAGTGGACGGTGTGGAGGGCGTTCTTAAGAGCTACGCGTGCCCTGCATGTCCATTTTGGTCACCAACGGTGTGGAGTGAACGATGTGGAGCGCGTCTGCTTAGTGCCCAAATGCGTCATAATCGAGCCTGTTGTTCAAGAGGTCAATCAATTGTAGATCATTCAAAGGCGAATTTCCGCACCCATCCATGCTTACTCCAAGTTCGGACTGCCAGTGCGATTCTGACTGATCCGCTCGCTCGCCCGCCTGAAGTCCTCCAGCAACTGGAGCTCCCCGCCGTAGCCCACCATCGGCAGCCTTGTGACCTTCCGGAGGGCCAACGGGAGGATGAGCGCAACACGCAAACTGTCTCAACATATTCGTCTGCACGTGAGTGTTTCCACCCTTGTTCACTGCGTTTGTTTTGTAGGCCGGGAATTGTTGGTGTGTGCTTGCCGAAGGCTCGTATGACGTGATGCCTATGTGAGTAAGTATGGAGGTATGACCTGTGTAGGTATGCGAATATTGAATTGAACAAGGCTGTCGGCAAGCAAGTATGCAAGTATATTAGTAAGAAAACATGCAAGCAAGCAAATCTGCTATCTGCATCAAGCACGTGAGTGCGCGGGTATGTCAGCATCAGCAAGTAGCCATGTCAAGGTGCAAGCAAATCAGTAAGCAAACAAGTAAGCTAGTTCTGGGCTAGTTGCGGGTAACACTCGTTCAGGGAACCCAGGAATCGAACCGAGAACCGTGGAACCGAACCGTTCGAACCGAACCGTCTGCGAACCGTTATTTCACAAGCGGAACCGAACCGAACCGCCCAGAGGAAAACAACCGAATCGTTAGGTTTAGAGCTTGGTGAGCAGCCAGACAAGGCTCCAGACAAGAATGCAACTTCAGCCAAAATGCTAACAATTTGCTCTTACATAGCCATGCTGACCAGAGAGCCAGTCATTTAGCTGGACAGGGTCTAAAGACATAAGTGGTCCCTCTGGAGTAGGCCCAAACAAAAGCAATCTCCCAGGTGTCCAAACAAAACAAAACTTCAGCAGCCCAGGGCAGGCTGTGATGCATTGCCACCAAAAGATATCCCACCAAAAGCGACCTCAAGGCGGTGAGGGGGGAGGCAGGTGAGGCTGGAGGTGAAGATGGTGGGGCAGGAAGGTGAGGCGGGAGGTGAGGCTGGATGTGATGCTGGTGAGGCTAGGCTAGGCTGGGAAGGCAGGCGAGGCGGGAGGTGAGGGTGGAGGTGAAAGTGGTGAGGCTGGAAGTGAAGCCTGGAAGCAGCAGGCTGGAGGTGAAGGTTGTAAGGCTGGAAGTGAGGCTGGTGAGGTTGAAGGGGAGAGGTGCAGCTGGGAGGTGGGGGGGCTGGAGGCGAGGCTGGAGGCAGAGTGGAGGTGAGGGTGCAAGGTGAAGCTGGAGGTGAGGCTGCAGACAGGCTGGAAATGAGGCTGGCTGCAGACGGCTGGCTGGAGGTGAAGGTTGTGAGAGTGGAGGTGAGGTGAGGTTGGAGGGTGTGGTGAGGCTGAAGAGGGGGACGTGAGGCTGGAGGTGAAGGCAGGCGAGGCGGGAGGTGAGGCTGGAGGTGAAAGTGGTGAGGCTGGAAGTGAAGCTGGTGGCTGGAAGCAGCAGGCAGGCTGGAGGTGAAGGTTGTAAGGCTGGAAGTGAGGCTGGTGAGGTTGAAGGGGAGAGGTGGAGGGGCTGGAGGCGAGGCTGGGTGGAGGTGAGGGTGCGAGGTGAAGCTGGAGGTGAGGCTGCAGGCAGGCTGGAAATGAGGCTGGAAGTGAGGCTGGAAGTGAGGCTGCAGGCTGCAGACGGCTGGCTGGAGGTGAAGGTTGTGAGAGTGGAGGTGGAGCTGAAGGTGAAGCTGGAGGTGAGGCTGGTGAGGCTGGAGGTGAGGTTGGAGGGGACGCTGGTGAGGCGCCTGGGAGCAGCCGGGTCTTGGTCCTTGTCGACGCTTCACCGGGGCGTGCGCAGCACCTTGCAGAGCGCGTCTTTCAAGAGCTTGCCGCGGCAGTACGCCTGCCCGCCGGTGTGCATCCACACGCTTGCGTTCGCATTGAAGAACTCCAGCTCCTTGGAGGCGTAGTTGTACTGGCACGGGAGCTCGCCTTCGACACAGACGGCAAAATCCAGGTGCGGCATCGGGGGCAACGGCCCCGTCGTGATGCACGCCGAAGCCGCGGATCCAAATCGGCAACGCCTTCAGGGTGACGTAGATGTCGGCGGCGCGGGCCTGGGCGCAGACGTGAGCCAACTGAGGGGAGGGAGAGACGAGCTCCCAGCCAGCCGTGGATCGTCACGTCCGGGATCATGCGCCCCAGGGCGTCGAGGTCCGCGCGTACTAAGGGCCGTTGGGCCGTTGGGCGAATCCGCACTATCCTACGTGCCCACTCGGCGCCGTGCCCGCTCGGCACCGTGCCCGCTCGGCACTCCTAACCTAAAGTGCCCGCTCGGCACTGTGCCCGCTCGGCACTCCTAACCTAAAGTGCACTGCCTACTCCCCTAGAGTGCCCGCTCGGCACGTTTACCTACGTGCCCGGCACTGTGCCCGCTCGGCACGCCTAAGTGCCAGCTCGGCACTCCTAAGTGTCCGCTCGGCACTCCTAAGTGCCAGCTCGGCACTAAAAAAAACGAAAAAAAAAAAAAAAGGCAGCGGGCCCGAGCGATTTTTCCTCCAGCGGGTCGATGCCGATCGCGGCGCTCACTGTCCTGCGAGGGATCGAGCGCGACGGTTCGGAAGGAAAAGGAAAACGACGACGGGGGGTCCTTTACGCGCCCGCTTCGGTGCCGGCGATGAAGCGGCCTGGCACGAAAGCGAGGCCGAAGCGATCGCGCGTCGGCCTGACGGGTGCAACGGGGGCAGGGAAGCCTTGAGAGCGAGCTCAAGGCGCGTCTTGTCCTGCCAGGCGAGCGGAAAAAAGAAAAAAACGAGGAAGAAGACAGGCCTTGGACGCGTTGCGCTCCGCCTCCCGGCGGAGCTTCGAAGGAGGTGGCCTCCGCGAGCGACGCAAAAAAAAACCAAGAAAAGGCGATCGATCGAGCGCACCTGCGGCCCGGCTTCCACGCCACCTCCTGGCGGGCACGGAAAAAGAGGTGGGGGAGGGGGAAAGCGCCTCCCCGTGACGGCCCAGTCCTGGCAATCAAAACAACAAAAAAGAACCGGGATCCTCCACGTCCATCCCACTCCTGGCAGAGGCGTCCCGAGCGACAAAACACCGTCCCGCGCGGAACACCGTGGAAAAAACACGCGAAAATCATGCAAAATCATGTCATGCCAAAATCAAGCAAAATCATGTCATGCCATGCAAAAATCGTGCAAAACGAGCTATTCCTCCGGTCCGTATATAGATATACGGACTAGAGGAATAGCATTTTTTAAGCGCAAAACCGCCAGGCCGTAACTGCACACACGGCCTGGGAGAATAGGAATCGGGACACAAAAACAGTGTAAAAAAGCTATTCTCCCCAACCATCTGCGCACAGATGGTTGGAGAGAATGCGGCGCGGCCGAGCAAAAAAAAATGGACCCGTAAAAAAAAGAATGGCAAGTTGGGCAAGACAACGACAGCAGTTCACGGAGGCCGCGGACGGCGGCGCCCGGGCTCGCAGGGGGGCGGATGGAGCCGTCGTGCTGAACTTGCGGCGCGGACCGGGGCCTACGCGCTGCTCTCGCGCGCGGACGGGCAGCTGACCCGGGCGGGCCAGCACTACTACTCGCACCTGGGCCTGCGGCCTCCCAGCAAGGACTTCGACTACAACCAGCCCCTCATCCGCAAGGGGCCCAACGACTACATCCTGCTGCGCAACGGGCGGAAGAAGCTCGTGCGCTCCTTGCAGGGCGGAGAGCGCCGGCAGACCAAGCTGGGCAAGGGCTTCTTCCGCGACAAGTTCTACGAGTACCTGGTCCACGCGCCGGTGATCATCCGGGGCAGGAGGCGCAGCGGGCGGAACGCCGGGGCGGGCTACGAGCGCAGGGACTGGCTGCCGGTGAACGAGCTGGGCGGGGCCATGACGAGGCACCCGGCCCACCTCACGGAGGAGCAGGTGGCGCAGCGGGTGAAAGCCTTGCTGGGCGACCCGGCCGGCCCGATCCTGCAGCTCTTGGACGAGACCTACGAGCACGTAGTAGAGGAACTCTAGGAATGAGGTGGAGACGAAACTGCGCCCCCGAGCAGCTGCAGCTGAGCGTGGAGGAGGTGTGCGCCGACTTCGACGCCGTGCTGCGCCACGACTGGAGGCGCCTCGGCATCTCCGCGGTGTCGACCTCCAGCGGCGTGATCCTTGCCGCTATGTCTAGCGAGCGCTGGTCCACCACCGTCTTGAGGCCGTAGTTGGCCGCCACCGTGGCCAGCGTGGCGTTGTTGGCCGAGGCGATGGAGCCGTTCATGGCCGCCATGGTGCTGTAGTTGGACAGCTTCAGATCCACGCCGTCCGGGGTGCTCTTCGTGGCCACCACGCCCTCCAGCACGTCAAAGGCCGACTGGTCTGCCTTGTTGGAGAGACCCGTGGTCAGCGAGCTCTGCAGCGCTGCGATGCTGCTTCCGTGCGCGGCCACCTGTCCGTCCGTGGTGGCCAGGGCCGCTGCCGTGGCCAGGAATTGCGCCCCTGCCAGCGCGCTGCTGTCCAGCTTTGAGGTCAGCTCAGCGGTGACTCGGTCGTCCAGGGACTGGATGGCCGCTGCGTTGTTGCCGGAGGCTGCCGTGTTCACCGCCAGGTCAGCAACTTGCGCGTAGGGCGTCAGAGCGAGGGACGTGCGTGCCGTCAGTTACCTCTCCGTTGTCCAGGACCTCCGGGATGTTGCCCGTGACAGGTCCTTCAAACATGTTTTCTTAGGAGTAGTCGTTACACGAATTCGTAACGATGGGGTGTTGTACTTTCGCAACGGCCCGCCTTGAGTCGCTATGGACCGTTCGGGGTCTTCGTAGCGCTGGGCGTTATAAATATATATCGTCTCACAACCGCCCTTGAGTCGCTTTGGACCAGGATTTTCGGGCAAAATCGATGGAGTCATCTCGTCGTAGCATGGTCGTGTGATGCTTTGAGGGAAAATATCCCTGAATTAGGTGCTTTGCTACCTGGGCATGAAGTGAGGGAAAATATCCTTCACTTATCCTTCACTTATCCTTCACTTATGATACCTCGCTGGACACCTTGGCCGGAAAATATCCCTCAATTCCGTGCTAGGCTAGCAAGACAAGAAGTGAGGGAAAGTATCCTTCACTTATGATGAATTGACCGATGGCGTCGGTCAAAACACTTGGGACACAGTACTGACACCTCGGCCTGTAGCACATGATGAATTGACCGGCGAGGCTACGCATTGTGTGCATAGTCTTACAGGACAAAGCTTGTGTCATGGGGCGACACGGGTCATGAGACACCTCGGAGGCTCAAGCGCTACCTTGTCTCAGCTGCCTCTGCAGCACCCACCAGCGGCCGGGCATTAATGAACCAACCTTGCGCATTAATAAATCAAGCCGTTCCATTATTGACTCAAACTTGCCAAGAACGAAGTCCTCTCGGAAACTTGGCCGCTCGGCGGGATGGAATTCGCCTGTTTTCCGGGCTGAAAGCGGAATCCTGAGCAAAGTGAGCTTTCGACCGAAAACGAGCGAAACTTGAGGCTCAGGCATCCCACTTGCCGTCTGACACAAAAAACGAACTTTTCGGACTTGGCCGTTTTGAGCGCTTTTTGCACCAAAAACGGAGCCAGACGGAGCGGTGACAAAGGCGGTGACAAGTTCGGCGGGCTGACGTGTCACAAGCCGAAACCTCGGCGGGCTGCCGCGCTCCGAGCCAGGTCCTCGGCTGGCTGTCGGGCCGCGGAAAACCCTGCGACTCGGAACTCGGGAACTGGGCCGCTTCTGCGCACTTTTTCGACCCAAAAGCGAGCGGTGACAAAGCGGAGGCAAACGGTGACAAGCTCAGCGGGATGGAATTTGCCTGCTTTTCCGGGCAGAAAACGGAATCCAGAGCACAGCAAGCGTCTGGAGCCCGATTTCGACCGAAAACGAGCGAATTTGGAGACTCAGGCACCACGTTTGACGTCTGACACGAAAAACGAACTTTTCGGAGTTCGCCGTTTTGAGCGCTTTTTGCACCAAAAACGGAGCGGTGACGAAGCGGTGACATTGCTGGTAACGAGTTCAGCTGGTTGAAATTTATGCAGTTTTGCAAGGTTTTTGGACCAAAAAACGAAAATTAATAGGGTAGTATAGGCTGATGTTTCTTACTACTTCTGACACGAAAAACGAACTTTTCGGAGTTGACCGCTTTGAGCGCTTTTTGCACCAAAACGGAGCCAGACGGAGCGGTGACAAAGGCGGTGACAAGTTCGGCGGGCTGACGTGTCACAAGCCGAAACCTCGGCGGGCTGCCGCTCCGAGCCAGGTGGCTGTCGGGCCGCGGAAAACCCTGCGACTCCGGAACTCGGGAACTGGGCCGCTTTTGCGCACTTTTTCGACCCAAAAGCGAGCGGTGACAAAGCGGACGGCAAGCGTCTGGAGCCCGATTCCGACCGAAAAACGAGCGAATTTGGAGGCTCAGGCACCACACTTGACGTCTGACACGAAAAAACGAACTTTTTGAAGTTGGCCGTTTTGAGCGCTTTTGCACAAAAACGGAGCGGTGACAAAGCGGTGACCTCTCTCTCCAAATGGATTCTATTCTACCTGACAGGCTCCTAGCACTCGTCCGTCCAGGAAACGACCTCGTCCTGCGAAGGATTCGAAACCTAAAACGCTGCGTGCAGGCGTGTGGCTGCAACATAACGACCCCTAGATATGCTTGCAAAATGCCCCGCAGCTGCGTTTCTGCAAGGCGAGCTCAAAAAAACAAGGAAAAAAAGAAAGCCAACCAAAAGCCAGCCAGAAGGAAGCCAGCCAAACCAGCCAGAAGCCAACCAGAAAGCCAGCCAGAAAACCAGCCAGAGCCAGCCAAACCAGCCAGAAGCCAACCAGAAAGCCAGCCAGAAAACCAGCCAGAAGCCAACCAGAAAGCCAGCCAGAAAGCCAGCCAGGAGCCAACCAAACCCAGCCAGAAGCCAGCCAGGAGCCAACCAAACCAAGCCAAAACCCAGCCAAAAGCCAGCCAGAAGCCAGCCAGAAGCCAGCCAGAAGCCAGCCAGAAGCCAGCCAAAAGCCAGCCAGAAGCCAGCCAAAAGCCAGCCAGGGTTTCCTTTGAGGGGGCTTGCCTTGCAGAAACAAAGGCAGCTGCGGGGCATTTTGCCAAACCGCATATCTAGGGGTCGTTATGTTGCAGCCACACGCCTGCACGCAGCGTTTTAGGTTTCGAATCCTTCGCAGGACGAGGTCGTTTCCTGGACGGACGAGTGCTAGGAGCCTGTCAGGTAGAATAGAATCCATTTGGGAAACCCCCTCTAAAGAGAGAGGTGCGATGTTCTATGTTCGCGCTTTCGCGCGGCGCAGTCTGCAGCTGTCGCTGCAGTCGCTGCGCAGTTCGCGCAGTTCGCTGCCGCTTTGCAGGATACTAGCTCGCCCAACGTGGAGGCTTCGATACCGAGCGCGCCACATGCCTGCCCGGCATCGGAGCCACGCCAGCCCGCCGAGTCATACGGATCATACGGATCATACGGTCATACGGTTGGCTGCCTGGCACTTCGGGTGCGCCACCCTGCCGCGCCACCTGCCCGGCATAGAAGCCTCCAGCCTGGCGCGCCACCTGCCCGGCATCGGAGCCACGCCAGCCCGACGAGTCATACGGATCACGTGTTTTAATGTCCATAAGGTGGACATTAAATCCTACCGCTTTCCAGGACACTAGCTCGCCCAACGTGGAGGCTTCGATACCGAGCGCACCACATGCCTGCCCGGCATCGGAGCCACGCCAGCCCGCCGAGTCACACGGATCATACGGATCATACGGATCATACGGTCATACGGCTTGGCGCTGCGCCACCCTGCCGCGCCACCTGCCCGGCGTCGGAGCCAGCCTGCCGAGCCTGCGCCACCCGAGGTCGGAACTCCGACTTTGCTCTACACCAAGGTCGGAATTCCGACTTCGCTTTTTTGCCCGAAAAACCCATCACCGGGCCAGCGCCGAAGGTCCGTCAGCGGCCTGCTTCAGGCGAGGCGGGAGGTGAGGCTGGTGAGGCTGGAAGTGAAGCTGGTGGCTGGAAGCAGCAGGCTGGCTGGAGGTGAAGGTTGTAAGGCTGGAAGTGAGGCTGGTGAGGTTGAAGGGGAGAGGTGCAGCTGGGAGGTGGAGGGGCTGGAGGCGAGGCTGGAGGCAGGGTGGAGGTGAGGGTGAGGCTGAGGCTGGAGGCGAGGCTGGTGAGGCTGCAGGCAGGCTGGAGGTGAGGCTGTGAAAGTGGAGTTGGGGATGGAGCTGGCACGCCGAGGCTAGGAGTGTGGCGCGCGGCTGGAAGTGGCACAGTGCAGAGAGCCGTGAACCGAAAACATACCATAGTAACCGAACCAAACCGAACCGAATTCAGATGAGAAACCGAACCGAGCCGTAATTAAACAGGCTAGGTTTCTGGAAACCGAACCGAACCGAACCGTGGCCACTCTGCTCGTTGCGGGCCAGTTGTCAGTTAGTGGTGAAATGAGTGGACTGGATTGGGGTGGAGTGGGGAGCGGGGTGGGGTGGGGAGGGGTGGGGTGGGGCGGAGGGTGGTGGAGGGAGAGGAGATGAGGAGAGGGGAGTACCCGCCCCTTGGTAAAGCTGCTCCAATGTCTTTTTGGGATCGATGGCCCCTCAAACCCCACTCTGTGGTCTGTGGGGAGGCACTGGATCAGGTAGCCTGGCAGCTGGCGGATCTGCTTGGCTGATCTGACCTGGCCTTCGTTCCTCCTCAATTCCATTCTGAAGTAATTGTTCTTTTCCCTTTTCTGAATGGCCTTGGAAGGTCCAGGGCGCCTCGGCTGCCCGCCTCCTAGCCAGTTCGCTCCTCACCTCTTGCCGCTCTTCCTCGCGATTTTCCCACGGACTGGGCCTTGGCCCACGCCTCGTTCCTCGGGCTCCACAAGCTGCCTGGGCCTGAAACGAAGCTTCGCTGGCTTTTCCGTCTGGACCTTCCTCTGCTCGAGAGTTGTCCCTGGCATCAAAGTGCATCCTCCCGGCCCAGGAGTCGCACGGCCAGCAAAGACATCCAAGAACTGCCTGAAGAAGACGTGAGCGGGGTTGGTGGCAATCAGCAGCACGCGAGCCCAGGTCAAACAAAAGCCACACCCACAGGACGGCCCGTGGGGGGCTGGCATCCGAACCTGAAGCCGAGATGCTGCAAAAAACACACCCGGATTCGTTTTAAATTATATGTCGTCCTACGTGCATTGCACGTACACATATGTAGGGGTAGGGGAATGTGCATATGTATGTAGGTGTGTGCAAGTGCGCATGTGTGCGTGTAAGTTGTAGGCATGCATACCTACCTGCCTACCAACTTACCTGGATAACAATCCACATAATCACACACATGTACGTATGCACGCACACATATGCCTGCACATATGCATAATCATGTACGTACTCCTTTCTTGCATGTGTGAGTGTCCAATGTGCCTATGTACATATGCGGGGAATGTATGCATGTATTGCAATCTTACAAGGAGAGAAGACAAGGGTTTGAGCATGCTCTTTTGAAGCTTGACACCTCCTGGAGAGCTCTTCACATCCTCGACAGCTCGCTCCCTCGTCCTTCGTATGGGCTTTGCTTCAACTACAGAGATGGATACTTGCCCACATGAAATCTAAGGAAGGTTTCAAAGGGTGTGTGTATGTGTGTGTGTGTGTGTGTGTCATTGAAGTAACGTTGTCACGCTGGAAACCATGGCAAACCTTCATCCTCACTTGAGTCACAATCAAAACCTGTTACACAAATGGTGAACCCAGAACCATGTAAAGAATTGGAAAGGCGGCCGCAACTATGTATTTCCCGCTGGGACTGCCCCTTACTAACCTTCATCTACCCGGGTTTTGATTGTGGCTCACTTCAGACTGGGCGCTCATGTAAGTACACACACCGACAAAAAGCTTGGGGTTGTGCCAACGCTCAGTCGAGCACCACCAGTCATGAAATCTTCACTTGTTGAGCTGTGCGTGCCGCGTGCTCCGACTTCAGCCTGCCAGCTTTCTGTGGACCCGGCGCCGGCGCGAGCATTGTTCGTCCATCCGCCTGGCCTCAGTCTGAGTAACAAAGCACTGCGCTGTCCTCCACACTCAAGCTTTTGAAACGGCCAAGAAGGTCCACTTCCACAATAGCATTTAGCCAACTTTGCACGATCACAAAGAGTCAATTAGTTCGGTCGACGTGAGGCCTTGACCGGATGTTTGGACGCTTTTGCGAGAATGCTCTTGTTCGGTAACAAAGCAACTTCAATGCCAAAGGCGTCCTTCACACCCGCCCCTTGCCGCTCAAGGCTTTCGCGGAGGCTCGTGGCTTTGCTTGAACCTCGGATGCCAGGGACCTTTCAAACATGAACAAATTCCCAGAAGAACACACGCTCCGCTCTATGCCGCAATGCTCAAGCAGTCAAGTAGAGCTCTGCCTGTGCCCGGTGTGCTCAAACTTTGGGCCATGGCCAGCCTTGCCGCCAAAGGGCTCTTCGCTGCTTGGATCCAGGCCGAGCTTGCCGAGGGCAGCCTCTTGTATCGGTCGGAAGCGAATCGGCCGGACACCCGGTGCAAAATGCGCATGAGCAACCGCCAAAATATGCGACTAAGGCAAAGGACCTCCAGGCACAGAAAAGCCACCAAGTTTTCCAATGTTCCTCCCAATCCACTCTAGACTACCGGATATTCGAACAGCACTTCACATGAGTCATAGTCAAAACCTACCCAACCTCCTCGGGTTTTGATTGCAACTCTAGGGAGCCTTCTTGAGGACAGCTTTGAGAAACAGGATGAAACCAATCATTGAGGGGCTACGTGGATTTCAGCCCTCCAAAAACTGTCACGGTCCTTCAAACTGCGTGCCGTTTGGCCACAAGGAGCGCGCATTCGCTAAAAACGAGGCCTGGGATCCGATGCGAAATGCGCCTTTTGTCAGAAACCGACGCTTCAGTTCTTCTCTGCCTTCTTCTGTGCCTTCTTGTCGACCTGGTCATCCCTCCCTTCCCCCAAAGCGAGGCGTCACACATGCAACAGGCAGGCATCCACATGCCCCAATCAGGGCCAATCTCCAAGCTCCAAGATCCCCGAATCTCCAAAAGCTGCATTTCGATTGGCCTTGCCGCCCTGTCAAACAAGGCAAGGCTTCCTCCTACATTGCATTCAGCTATAGAAACTTCTGCATAGAAGCTTCGGGCACCTGCCATAAAGCCAAGGATGTCTCTAGGTCGGGCTGGGCCAAGAATATCTCAGCGACTCCCAGCCTTTGGCTTCGTCTGCCCCGGATCTCCTGCGGGCTGAGACAAGCCCAAAGTGCCAGGGTCGGAGGGTCGGGGAGGCCCGACTTTCCTGGCAACCGAGGGCTCTGGCTTCGATGGGTCGGTTTCAACAGACTTCGACGGTTCAGACTTTCAAACTGATGTGATGCTCAGGAAGTCAGGAAGTCAGGCAGTCCAAGCCCTCTCCTTGGCTTTGCGCTCCAAAAGCCTGGAGGGCCTGCGAATCGGCAGCAATTGGGCCAAAAACATGGAAAACCATCCCCTTCGATCTAGCTTGTCTGAAGGACTCGGAAATGACGCCTCGTGACAGCACGACTGCATGAATACAGAAACCGGAAGGTCGAAAGGTTGGGCTTGGATAATTGAGTCCTAGCACCACAAACAAGCTGCAACAGCTCTCCCATGGATTGACCCCAAATCTAAAGCATTTCCTTCCTACTAGGCCAGGGTTTCTCTGGCTGTGACACGTCTTGAACAGCTTCTCTGTGATTCCTCCGATCCCCGAACTGCCAGGGCTGGCCCGTCAGCTCTCGTTGCTCTTCCAATCGCACTCTGCCCTGAGGCCGTAAAAATATTCGTGCATCGGGTTCTGCCACATGGGCCCTCAAGACAGGGCTGGAATCCAATCGTTTTCGAGAATGAATGGATGGGTGCGTTCAAAGCATGGCATGGCCTCTGGTTTTCCAGCATCCCTGCAACCCGCGCAAGCCATCACGCACCTTGTCTTCTGTGTCGTCAGTCATCGTATCCCACTGGGCACGGGACGAAGATAGCACACCGGGCTGCACGTCAAGCGCCATCGCCATGCCTTGGGTGGTCTATCCTCCTCGTCGAAGTCAGACAGCGAGCCTCGGTCTCAAGGGCAAAGCAGAATGGGCTCATCTGCAACAGTATTAAGCATACGCTGACTGGCTAAAGACGCCAAATTTCGACAAGCTTTCGAGGCGTTCGGCCCCTCAGCGCCTGGCCTTTCATGATCAAGGCACCACCTGCTGGGTTGTCCTCACACAGCAGAAAAACCATCGCGGGCAATGCCTTTTGGGGCCCGCCTTGTCACGGCCGATTCCTCCATCTCCCACCCCGAGGAACCAGTCGCCCACTGGGAAAACAACCTGAGCGCGGCAGCGTCAAGTCACCCCAATCCAAGCCCAATTGCCTCACCGCCGCATTGAAGACGAAAAGGTGTTATTTGCCTTGAAGAACATCGCCCCAAATTGACAACTAAAATATGCAGAAAAACCCGAGAAGGAACCCTTCCGGCCCACTTCCGGCATGCGCTTTCCCGCTTCCATGGCTGAACAGCCCTCGAGCCGAATAAGAACGCCACGGTTCTTTTGAGGCGGCCAGGCGTCTGCACCTGACACCCCGAAGACATGAGTGGGTTGGCCGTGCCACTTTCGCAAGGTGTTGCCAAATAAGATGCAGAAGTTTCTCCAACTATATTCCACCTGGCTTAATGAGCTAAAGGTCAAAACATGCAGTTACCGCAAAGCACATGGGCAAATTAGTGAGTCCCCGGGTTTGCAGAATGCTTAGTGTACTACTTCCTGATTTGACCAAACCTCATATCTGTCGGCCCAAGGTCTGGTGCCTTCGCAACTCCTTCCTGAGCACCCCGCGTCATTCAGCCATCGCTTTTCTCTGGCTTCCTCACCTCTGACACTGCAGGGCCAAGGAAAAATGCCCCCGACCACAGATAATGCAGCTGAAAGCCAACATGTATCGCTTCACATCAACTCTTCAGAGAAAAGAAGCCGTTGCAAGCTGAGCCGTGTGCTCTCCTTGGGTTTCAAGGTCTGCGCGACATTGGCCTCCGGCGTACCGGAGATCATTTCGGCCAACTGAGTCATGATTTGTTGGCAGCCAAATCCCGGAATCAACTGAGAAGGATTGCAAAGGACGTCGACTCGGGACTGTTCGACTGTTCACTGCTACTCTCCATGGGCTTGGCTTTGGGACAAGTGAGCCAAACGCGCGAACGAGTGATCTTGAGCGCCTTGTGAGGCTGGAAAGCTATCAATGGGAGGTCAGCTGATGCTGCCTTCTGCCCAGGGCTGCAAACATGCAACAATCCTCAGCCCTGGCGTCCTTGAGCTCATCATTTCGTTGTTACTTGCCCATTGACATCCGTTCTCAATGAGTGATCCTAACTGGCTAATCGTTGTCCTTCACAGGCAAGTTATGACGTTTGCGCTCACTGCCGGTGCCTTGCCAGCCTTTCCAGACGTCGCCTGTCCAGAGACCGCCTCAAAGCTGAGGTGAAAAAAGCGATGGCTGCCAACTCTGATCAGCAACCTTCTTTGAGGAGATTGACGCTTCTTTGGGTTCACGTCGCTGAAAAGATTCAGGATCGATTCGAAGTTGCCAAACATTCAGGCCGTCTGGGCTGTCTAAACCGCCTGTCCAATCCAGTCTGTGTCTCTTTCGCGCCTTGGCATCCTCAAAGGACACAACCTGACACGAGGCAGGAGGCATTTCCCTAATCTTCAAGAAGTTGGGGAAAGCATGCCCACAAACCGCAGCTCCCCTTCAATTGCACCAGCTGATGTTCCAGTAACGTAGCCAAAGAAAAATCAACCAACATCCGCTTCAAAACAAATGAAAGCTCTATGCCGGCAATCTCTGGCGGCGGGCTGTCGATGCATGCGAAAAAGAAAAAAAACATCCTCGCACCATCTGCCTGTCGATGCACCCGCGGATGGTCCCAGAAAGTCTCGACCTGCAATTTGCAGAAATGGGTTGTGCCGGGTTGGGAACAACTTCTCTGTGTGGCCAACAAGGAGGCCCTAAACAAAAAGGGCAGCACGGAACTGCGCAGATTCCCTTTGGACGAGTGAACGCCAAGCGTGAAAAAGCCCCGTCCTGCGAGACGGGCACTCCCTTCACACTGGAAGCGCCCATGGCAGATGACAGCCATGGCGAAAAGCGGGCAAGGGGTCGTGATCTTGTTTGCCTTGGTTGTGTGAGTAAGCATCACGAGGACTTGGTGATCAAGCAAAATTGATGACGGATAAGGATCAAAAAAATCGTACAAAGGTGTATAAAGATTCTGGAAACATCTCTTCCCGGAGATCAAGCAAATAGTCGCTCCTAGCTCTGATCAATCCTCGTCAAAAGGAAGTCACTGATTGCAAATCTAAAACATAGAGACCATTGGACAGTGGAGACATGGTCGAGAACCTTCTTGTGGGATCAAGCTACGAGCCGAGCATTCCACATCAACTGGTGCAGCTACGGCTGATTGAGTACTTCTGTTTCATCTTCCATTGAAATAAAGCACGGCCAAAATGACTGTGCTGCGGACCTCGCATGTTTCTACAATGCGTTCAACATCACCAGTGGGCCTACAAATTACTGCAAGGAAAAGGCGAGCAGAGACAAACAGGAGTACAGGAGTACAGTCCAACTGCAATACTATAACCCCTGTCACAAGCTTGCTGCGCCAAGTAACCCCCATCAATAGGGTGACCTAGCTAGAATGCCCTGCATTTGGCACGTCTTTCAGCAGGGCTGTCCACTCCGTCGCATGCTGAAACAAGCTGGTGCTGTGCTTCTTTGGCACATAGTTCTGATTCTATCTCAAACACAAATGATGTGCGAGGTCTTCAACGTTAGGTTCTGTCCCTACTTTGCCGCCCTCTCAGTCCCCAGTACCCCAATAAAACATCACCTGAAGTTCTAAGCGTTTTTTCAGAGCCTCAGCTCAGAGTCTTCTCTTCTGGCTTGAACGCCTCCCAAAGCCCAGGTCACTCAGCCATGCGGCCCCACGAAGAGTCAACTTCTGTTGTCTTGGAATGAGCATTACTCAACACACACACACACACTCACCGCGTATACATCCGTCCTTAGAAGCTTCTTGGGCGGCTTTTGCCCACTTCTTTGCTTGCTCCGCAGACCTCAGTCGCTGCGAGTGAACACGAAACAAGTGCAAGCAAAGGACTGACACACGGCAAAGAATGACCCTGAACGGAAGCTGAGCTGCCAATAGCCGGCATGCGCCAGTCACAAACACTGCAATGCTGTTGGGTGGCAAAGACATACACGCGGATCGAACCCAATCTTGAAATCCTCTCTCTTTCTCTCTCTGAAGCAAGCAAGGCGCAGGGACAGCCAACATTGGTCAAAATGATGGTGCCTCATTTGGATATTCCGGGGCATTCCGTGCCAGGAGTCTTGGAGGTTCGCCTTTCAAAGCCAACCTCAACAACGCGGCTACTCAAGATGATGTCATTAAATGACCATGTCAAACCACTTCGAACATCCTAGACCAAAGCGACGTTTCAGGGGCGCCTTCCCAATCCTAAGCGCCCGGGCTGCGTCACCTGCGCCGAGATCCGTTTCAGCGCCGGCTCCACGCTCTCCACCTACGATCTAAGCATCTCTTTCCGACCCCTGGGACGATGTCAGTGCCGCCTCAGGGGTCCGAGGGATCCATTCACAAAAGCTCCCCGAATATGCGAATGTACAAAGAGAACATAGACGAAATGACAAGTGGCTCAAAGCATCGACAGCTTCATATGAAGAAGCCGGCCTGAACAAATCATAGAATGTGTCTCTGCTGATCAGTTGCACTGATCCAGGGCCTCTGTGAGACCAGTATCTGAGTGACACGACGTGCAACTTCAAGCAATGTGCGGAAACGACCAAAAAGAAGGACAGGCAAAAGAAACAACGACAACTGGTGCCAACGAAAAAACGACGCATAGGTTGCCCGGCTGTGAGTGGTGCCGGCCCGGGGGCAGCCGCTGGCCCAGGGGCAGCCGCTGGCGCGGGCGCCGGAGCCTAGGCTCAAGGTGATCTCTAGAGGTCGTGCGTTTGCGTCTTCAGGTTTGAGGTTTCCTTATACATTCATCAGCCAAAAGTTGCCTCACGCATCGTCATGTTGAAGGACAATGATTTCTTGGGCTTTGACCCTTTGCATCTGGCTTGGCTATGGCTATCCAGCAATTCTTGGCCATTGTCCTTCTCCAACATCAGGGCCTGCTCCGGCTGCCTCAAGCCCCTCTGAAACAAGTCCCTGAAAGCCCACCCAGTCAGAAACTGGTCAAACCCCCCGGCAAATCCCTCTGAAGCCGGTCAGTCAAATTGCCCTCGACAAACCCTTCCAAGTACAACTCCAGTCACACAGTAGAAACCGGCCAACTTCCAATCTAGATGCCAATCAAATCCTTTCTAGAACCGGTCCAACCTCGTCAATCAAATCCCAAGTCCAACTCCAGTCACATCCCCTAAAAACCGCTCACGTTCCCCAATGTTCCATTCATATCCCCCTTTCAGATTCGCCAACCGTTCCCCAGAATCTGGTCAAGGCTAAAAACTCGTCAAACTCCTTAGTCTCGTTCTATCTAGCCCTTCGAGTGGAAACGCGCAAACATGCACCTACCCACTATCTTAAAAACCAGCTCTCGGAGAAAACTCACTCAGTCACACAAACACAACACTTCAAAGCAAACCAAAACACAGTACCTCAAAGCCAGCCAAAAAGATTCTGGTGGAGGCGGGCAACGCGAAGCGTCTACAGTTCATACAACTTGTCTGTCACTGCCTCTTGTCACGGACAGTTCGGAGCTTCAGTTTCCGTCTGATTCTTTGAGCGATCTTGGGATCCTTTTTCAGGACTGGATGTTAGACATCACTCTGACTTTATCTGCAAGGAACAACCCGAAGGACAGCAATCAATGGTAGGCTGAAAAGCAAGCCCTTCGAAGCTGACCTATTTCGTTGGACGGCCCCATATCCCACCTGGGCGCTTCCTCAACCGGATTTGGACCCCAACAAGAGTTGGTTAAAACTCCTCCACCTGTAGCGCACGAAGTCCAACAGGTCCAACCATGCGCGAAGGGGCGTAGCCGCTATTTTAACTCTGGAGCCCGCCCTGTAAGCGGTAATGCATGTGTTTAGCAAACACTTCACACAGGGGCAAAAAGGGAAAATGTTGCGCCCTGATGCACTCGCTCACAGCTGAGGCATTCTTTACATGACAAGTAGTTACTCGTCCTGCGGCCCCTCACGTGATGACACTCCTCCACGTGATAGCACTCTCCGGCATTCTCTTGCACTTCACTTCTTTCCTCTTGCCCTTCGATACTGCAGCGCGATCACCGTCATGGAGAACACGGTGGTCAGGATCAGAGTGATCCCACCGCCGATGACCAAGCTCTGCGCGGCCGACTTCTTCACCGCCTTTGCCAGCATTGCCTGCACGTAACCAGCCACCGCGCTACCGGACCACATTGTTCTGTTCTCGTCTCTCCTTGACCGTCTTCTTCTTCGCAGCAGTGAAAGTCTCATTGTAGACCAATACTCTCGAGCCCGCCCTGTAAGCGGTCATGCATGTGTTTGGCAAACACTTCACAGACCCGTATAAAAGGTAGGAGTCCTCGTAGTGGCCCTTTCAACATTATCCAAAGGCGCTTATCCGGTCATCTAACTGTAGCATGAGCCATGTGATGTGTTGGGCAACTGTTGCACACACGAAAAGACAAATCAGAGAAGATGCTTGTTGAACCAAACATGTCAAGGCAATTTTACTGATACCTGCTAGCACCTGGGCGTTCATTGATTGGTCTTTGACATGCACTGACAAACCCCTAGTGGTCTGGCGAGTGTTCGGTCTTCACTGCCTTGGCGGCACTGACAATCGAATAGTGAAAGCAAAAACCAAACTTGGCCAATGTTCGCGGATGTGCAAAATCAAATGTCATGGAACCAGACCGGATCGCTTTGTCAAAACTGGAAGTCTGCTGCGCTCGCTGATCTCTTTTCTCGTGTCTCAGCTGCAGACTTACTGGGGCTGTCAGCTGCAAATGAGCTGCGGCAAACAGGATCTGCCTCCTCCGCTCTGTTTTGGAGCGGGTTCGACTCATGTTCAGGCAATTGGTTACCTGCGTAATCGACTAAACGTCTCCCTCTAAATTTTGAAACACGTCAAACGGACATGCTGATAACCCTTAGCAAAATGCTCGGCCCCGAGGGAGTCAAGCGGCCGGTCTGAAAGACTTCGGTCATTGCTCTGTGGTCTCACTGACCTTCGTCTCTGTCTCTGCTACTTGTGGCGCTGCCTCAGGCTTTGGAGCCTTTGCCTTTGCCTGGCTCGGGACAAATTGGAGTGGTTGATGTTCAGTCCACCCTGTCATTCCTTCGATGCCAACATCCAAAGCGGCTCGCCATAAATCCGAGCTCCAAGAATGGGCTGTCCAAGGCTGAGTTGGTGGTTGTCAGTCCAGCTTTGCTGTCCCCCTGGTTGATTGAGACCCGATGCGACACAAACACACGCGCAAACACACACGGCCACACACACACACGGAATTATGGATGCACTTCAGCCACGCACAACAAGGCTCGCGCTTTTCATGCAGTTGTTGCGATAGGGCTCGGTCGACTACACTTTGGTCGTATGCACCTGTTGAGATAAGGTGCAAGCCAACATCGCTAACCCAAGGAATCCATCTCCAATGTGTACGACCGAAATACTGTTCACTTCTCAGGGCAGGACCATTCATCATGAAAATGCCGTGCCAAAGGGATTTTGCAACAAACACTTGCCCTCGCCTACACAAACCTTTGTCGGAAACGGTGGCTCCTGAAACTGAAGCCGGGTGCATCTTTGGCACCATCAGATAGCGACTCACCTGCCGTGCGGTGGCCAGCACCCAGACCAAGATGAGCCACAAAATGGAACAGGATGGAAGCGAGCATCCAAGATGTTGATTGTTGGTTTCTCCAATGTAACGTCTCAAACATGAAAACACTAAGCCGCAGCGGAAGAGATTGTATTGAGCTGCCAACGTGCCATATCCAAGCAGTCACAAGAGCATGACGAGGTGCCTTTGCGGACGTGCTGGTCCTGGCATAGGCGACATGGGTGGCATCGGCGATTGGTATGGCCTCATGGGGGTTGCACGACATCGGTGCTGTGATACTCAGCTATCAATGTCAAGCACCACAATGCGGCCCAGGAGCATTGGCGGGTGTGGCGGAGGGCAGCCATAGTGGGGCCTCGTTCGTCTCCCAAAAACAGAAGCCACATGTCACGTCTCCATGGCCGCCCCAAATGTGCCAGCCGTGAGGCAATCTAGTTCTAGTTCAACTCGCGGGGAGGCAGTGCACATATCCAAACTCTCGGACGAAGAGCTTTAACACTCAGGGGCTGCCAACTGCTTGAACCCTCCCCGCAGGCAGTTGCACACGCGCCGAGCTGCTGCGCATACGGCGCTGTGAAAGGTTGGGCCTGCAACACGGCAGGCAGGCAATCCCTCATGCTTTCAAGGAAAACAAACAAATTACACCAGCATAGCCCATAGATAGCAGTACCTGCACACCAGCACCTCCAAAAGCAACCCCTCCCCCCCCCGAAGAACGCCCCAGGCAAAGCCCGGCCGTCACTCGAGCAAAAATTTGCCCGCAACATCGCCCTGAAGAGCACCCCAAACAGCACCCCCCCAAGACATGCACCTGCACCGTCACCTGCATGCCGGATAGCACCCGAGCGTCAATATCGCAAAAATGCGCCCACACCGTCACCAGCTCCCCACAAACTGCGTCCCACAGCACCATCAGCACCAGCACCCCAAACTGCATTCCCCCCTGCGGCCTACCGTCAAAATACAAAAACACGCGCGCAAAGTCACCCCCCAAAACAGCACCTACACCAGCACCCCAAACTGCACGCCCCCTAGCACCAGCCCATCAATCTCGCAAATCACTTTCCCGTCTTTGCTAGAAGTTGGAACCCCTATAGCTTTCAGCTATCTGGGGAAAAAACAAAACAACCCAAAGGATTAATGGCATTTGTTTGTGTGGCAAAATGGGAGGGACGGTGGGACCGTCACACGGAGGCACACTGCTTAACTGTGCTCGTGGGCATCTCCCCACCGAATGCATCTGACCGAATGACATGAGCTCTTTGCAAGAAGCGAGCGCACGTGTGGAAAGCCATGCAAAAAGTTACCAGAACGTAGATGATCCACAGTAATGTGTGATGCTGATCTTACCCATCATGCCGGAACATGTCAGTTTCTTGTCGGTTTTGATATCAGCCATCATCAGCAGATATCAGCACTTTGTCAGGGAATCGATGCGCTCCTGGCCGGCATGCATCGGGTGCGTCTGCATGTGCATCTGGTGCATCTGGTGCATCTGCCGCATCTGCGTCTGTGGCGGCACGCGCCTGCACTGGAGACCAAAAGATGAAGTCTGCTCGTGACATATCACGAACCAAATCAAAGATGCTTAAACATGTTTTCTCTCGCTGATGTGTTCAAACATACTCCCTGAGCGAAACATGGCGAAAATGTACGACAAGCTTCTGATGCAAACCCAGGCTATCCAAACTGTCCAAACTATCCAAGCACTAGGGCGACACGTTTCTTCAGTGCCTTCTTGTGTTCTCAACTTCAAGCGTCCATTAGCATCTTCTAGTGTCTTCTTACCGCCGCTGGCATCTTTCTTTGTCTTCTGCCTCTGCGTGATTTCTTCGTGTGTCTTTGTTGCGCATGCTTGCATGCGTGCTTCCTCGAATACTCCGCCACTTCTTCTTACGTGTTCACAAGTGCTTGTGCGCCTTCGCGGCTTTGCGTGTCCGCGCGTCTTTTTGCATGTCGTTATGTGTGTGTGTGTGTCTCGTCATGCATCTTTGTGCATCTTAATGCGTCCGAATACGTCTCACTGCCTCTTCCTGCTGCATCTTTCCATTTCTTCATTCATCTTACGCTTTTAGTGCACTTTCACGCGAGGCGTATGCGTCTTGTTGTTTCATCCTGTGGTGTTGCATCTTCATGCGCGGTCGTGGCGGTCGCTTGTGTTGGTGTCTCCTTACACATCCTTCTTTATCACGTCTTGGAGCGTCTTCACGCATCATCAAGCTTCTTTGCTAAGGCTTGAATCCCTTCGAATGACATGTGCGGTGCCACAGAATATTATGTCCTGTTCTTTCTCGCTCACAACTGGCCTTAATTCCCACCTGGGTTTGGCACCTCTCGCTCCGTTGGAAACGCCCTTGAAGGAACATGGAAAGGGTCTCCCAGGCCTCGCTGGGCTCGAGCCCAGCTCGCGGCTCAGGCTTGTAAACGCATACCTCGGTTGGCAGTCCCTGTCTAAAGCACTGAACAACTTCCAAGTCGGCAGACTCTATCAGCAAACCCCAGCATGGCCCCAGAACCTGTTCCCCCAATGGGAGTGGTCTGATGCTCATCCAGCTGACATGGTGTTCCTTCCAAAGTGAAGTGTCCCTATTTTACGTGAGATCCTTGCCCAGAAAAGTAGTTTCGAGGATTCGTAGTTTCCCTGTTTAGCCCTGTAAAAGCCCAATTTGTTGAAGAGGATCATGACATGCTTCCTTCGCCGCTGGCAAATGAAGGTTCAGAGCAATGGCTGCGCCTCAAAATACTGGACGCTTTGGGGAGCGGCCGTAAAGGGACTCTGCGGGCCATGTGAGCCAATCGGAGGGTTCTCACATGTATTTACGTTCGGTTTGTTTGGACTTAAACGGAGCTTGTTGAACCTACATGGCTATCTCTCTCTATGGGAAAAGAGAGGAAAACGTTGCCGGCCTGTGGCTGCGCAGGTGTGACAAGAAGAGGCGCGATGACGCACAACCTCCTCAAAATCACGTTGGGGTTGTACGATGCCTCCATATTTGGGTTACTTTGGGAAAACCAAAGGAACTCGTCTCATTTCACTGTTCGATTTCTTATGAGACAAACCCATGTGTGTCTGAATGTGGCCGGCCAAGCATTTGGTCAAGCCTATCATCCACTCCTTGGAATCTAGTGGAATTCATGCGAATTCTCGGTTGCACCATTCCTCCAATGGAATTCGCTACCCATTCTAAACCTTCTCCAATCTTCTCCGCTTCCGAGCCTCCATCTTGATGGCTCGAAAGGCAGACCAAAAAAAACCTAACTGCCTGAAGGGATCCCCAACATTCCTGCAAAAGGGAAACAAGGGGAAACCTGAATACCGAAATTGTACCGTCCAGGCCACACAAGGCTGACCACCGCGGACAGAAGCGCGGGCATCCCCACCAGGAAGTAGCCATAATTCTTGTGGAGCTGGCACGCACGCTAAGTGCCATGCTCAGATCTTTAGGTTTCCCTTTAAATACCATCCGAAAGGGGGTTCAATGAACATGAAGGCCATCAAAGATTCCTCAACACTGTGGGTTCATGAGTGCGACCTTGTTGTCCAAGGGCGCATTCAATGGCAGCGCAGCAAACAAATGTGCGTTGCTCTGCTATGACCCCAATTGCCCGACAGCCTCCGTGACACCCCAATTCTGCCTAGCACCCCGCCAAAACCCTGAGGGAATGTGTGTTGTACGCATTTGCGAATGCGCTCAAAGTTGAATTTCCTCATATTTCCCTGATGAACAGCGTCAACCAAGACATCAACACCTTTGACGTAGCACTACTGTCAGCGCCCACATCCTGCCTTGTGGCTCTTGACTGTCATCCTGTAGCAAAGCACCACGAGCATATCTGCAGAGAAGCAAATCAGCATCAGGCACACGAACAATGGTCTCGCTTGCCAGAGCGTAAATGACTTCCTTTTGAAGCTCTTCAATCTACATGGCATCCAGATGCAAAATCCCACCAACACACGCACACAAAAAAGAAAACAGAAAAACATGGGGAAGCCCATGATGTTGGGGTTGGGACCATCCCAGATGAAACAGTACTAGGGGGTTCAATCAGACCTCAAATGCAACAGGTACTGCAGATCCACTGAGGCTGGCACATGTACATGCACAGTGATAAGGTCCCAAACAAATAGAAGGCCTGGCAGTGATCAGTCGCAAAGCCCTGCAAGCCAGGCAGCGTATCATCTCACGCAACGCTGCGCCTTCATCAACGCCACCAGGCCCCAAACCTGAATGAAGCAATGATCGAACGGTTTTGACCACGACGGAAGGCATCCACCAAAAACAAAAGGCACTCCCGGTTGCTTGTCGCTTCTGTAGAGGCTGGTTGCGCGGCCTTCGGCTATATTGCCTTTGCAATAGCATTTAAACCCTGCAGGCCAGTCTTCAAGCTTGCCTTGCCTCGCTGCTTCTCTCAGTTTGCCCTGATCTGAGCACAGGGCAGCTAGTGACTCGTTGGCAGCCACTGCGAAGGACAGGCCTGGCCGGGAGGATTGAGCTGATAAAACTCCGTGTGCCTTGCAAGTGGCGAATTCGGCAAGGTTTGATCGACATATTGTTTGCTGCATTGCTTCGGCTCTCTCCCAGGTGCTATGATAAGAAGTGAGTGTGAGTGGGCATGTCAAGAGCATCATACGTGTGAACGCGAACAAACACGATGTGAAGTGTGTGTGTATATATATATATATATATTATACATATATATATATATATATATATATCTACATATGGTACCTCCCCCCCCAAAAAAAGGTTTTGTGAGAAAACACTGGTATTTACAGTGCTTTGTCACCAAAACCTGCATCTGCCAGAACACACACTTTTCAGGCCCACTGTTTGCATGTCAAAAGCCTCTCATTTGGCAGCCAATGCTTGCAAGCAAGCACTATGATTGCGTAAGGGCATCTCTTCAAGGAAACTGAAAAAAAAACTGAAAGAAACAACAACAACAAAAAACTGGAGGGGAAAAAAAACTAAAAACCAAGGATTCAGGGGGACATGGGGGGCCCCCCTCAGGCATGTACCCCTGAATCCTTGGTTGTTTTTCAGTTTTTCAGTTTTTTCCTAGTATTCAGCTTTGTTATTCCCCTAGTATTGTCTGAGCAACCAAGCACTATGATTGCGTAAGGGCATCTCTTCAAGGAAGCGCTCTGGAAAGTGAAAAATCTGAAAAAACTGAAAAACCAAGGATTCAGGGGACATGGGGCCCTCGCAGGCATGTCCCCCTGAATCCTTGGTGTTTCAGTTTTTTTCATTTTTTTCAGTTGTTTTCAGTATTTTTTAATATTCTTCGGTTTTGTCCTCACTACCCCCCTAGTGTTCCCGAATATTTTACTAGTAAAGGAAGGGGAATATTAGGGGAATACCTTTAGTATTATCTATCTAACGAGGCAGCTAAATAGACTGGTTAGCCAATTAACTAGCTAACTGACTTTAGAGCTAATTCATTACAACTATTTAACTGACTAGTTAGCTGACTAACTAATTGAACTTGCCAACATTTACTGCTTGAACAAAAAAAATATGCGTTTCGCAGAGGCGAAAATACACATGTTTCTCAAAAGTAGCATTGTCCAGTGCTTTGTATATATATATATATATGTACCTTATTTCTTGTGTAAAAGTATATGAATACACACTGTATATACGATCTAATGTCACGTGCTCAAGGTTGCATCCTTAGCTCACATGCCACGGGTGAGCTCCTGCCTGTGCCCACCAGTGCCAGCAATCCCAGAAAGGCCCCGGTCAGCTCCGACTCGGTCTCGAAGGGCGGGTCATCCAGGCTGATGGACATGAACCACAGCACGGCGCAGATCCCCTCGGGAAGGCCCGAAGGCTGAGAGCTTGCCCAATGAGATCTAGCCAATGGTCTGAGACCAAGGTCTGTGTCGGGACTTGGAAATGAAATGCGCCAAGCGTCGTCCGCAAGCGCGATCGCAAAGAAGACTGGAAGCTTGCTGTCACCCATGGCGGCGGAGGCCTGGCCTAAGCCTTCGGCTGTGCACGAAGTAACTAAACCAAGTTCATACTTGACAACCCCGTTGCTACAGCGAAGTCCCAGCAAAGCACAAGCTATGACCCCCTGTTAATTTGAACATGAAGCCATCTCTGCACCAGTCATGACAATTGGTGAAGTGAGCATGTCTCGGCTGCCATGCTTCATCGGCAATTGCTCTGCTTTGCGTGTGTGTGTGTGTGTGTGTGCGCGCATGTTGCATAGATTCGAGGATTGAGCTCAGTCTTCAGCACGCAACAATCACCACTGGCTGGAAGAC